AATAATTCTGGATGGGCTTCGCCTCACTGTGACGATTTCATCCTTCTCTATACATCTCAAGTCAAATTTTATTTATCCCTCTATGTTTAAGGGCAACTAGAAAGATAAGCTAGAAGGTTTCAAGGTAAACATCCCTCTAAATTCCCTAGCCGCACACTGTCTCGACCTCTGTACCTTCAAACCCTATGCCACCCCAGTAGCATGATTAGCAGCCCCACCCTAGACCTTACCATAATGGGAAACTGCTCAATTATAAAATCTCAAACTCTAAAACTTCCCTGGACCAAAACTTCCTGTTTTTCTATAATGCAACTCTCGGTGAATCTATTCTTGGTGACTTCTTGCTCCTCAGCCCTTCCCAAGTTCATGAGTCCTTCATCCTGGCTCTTAGTGGTTCTGACCACCACCCCTCACCATTTTCTTCTTTTTCCAGTACAATCCAGACTTGGGTTGCTGATGGAATCCGCTATTTGAATGTGGCCTCCAATTCACTGCTACATGAAATCCTTCCTGAGCCTGTCGTTGATTCCTTCTCATAGTCCTCATAGCCCCTCAACCTTTCTTGACTCCCTCGGCTGGATGTGATTTCTCTCTCTTCCTAATTCTCACAGCTTGAACTTGTTTTTTCCTCGTGGCTTCTATCATTTTGTGACTCAGATAATAGTTATGTGTCTACTTGCATTATTTCTCTTGGAGGTCTTTTAGGGTTTTAACTTCTTACTCATCTTTGGTTTCCAGTACCCAGCATCAAACAGATGCTCAGGGGCTGTTTCGTGAATTGAACAGACAATTTTTCTACAAAGGAACCTAGAAAAAATAATAGGTTCATCTGGATATCAACTGCAAAGTTCGGAAGAGGGTAGTTTTACAGAAAAGCAAACTAAAACATGCAATGAGGATATTAGTTTGCTATTGCTTATAATGAATTAACACAAATCTAGCAGCTTAAAACAAGAGACATATATTATCTCCTACAGTTGTGTAGGTCAGAAGTCTGAGAACAGTGTAGCTGGGTTTTCTACCTATTGTCTTCCTCCTGAACAGGGTAAGGAAAGATATTGGAGTCCTTTAGCCCCACCCAGCTCTTCAAGCAAAATATCACCTCTTTTGGCATCCTATGAGGTAAGGAGGGAGGATACTGTAAATGTTCTTTTTGCAGATGAGAAGTAATAGGTTGAAATCACTGGGAAAGAGCTCATTGCTTAGTTCGAGGGGGAATTTTCTCACAGTCAGAATTTCCTTATATTTTTCCAAAGATAAAAGGGATGGACGAAGAGGTTGTGAACCCTCAGGATGAAGACAAGTTTTGAAGAGAAGTATTCATATTTCCTGGGTACAAAGCAGAGGTGGATTATTCGGCCTCTCTCAGACATGGATGCCACAATATTTGAAGCGATAATCCCAGCTAAGGCAGCAGCTATTTGGGAAAAAGGGGTACCTTATGTGGACCACTGCAAGAGAGACATTAACATGCCATCCTCTTAGGTGACATTGGTACACATGCCTGCTTTGACCCTCACCTGCTGCTTGTTTGCTAGGTCACCTCAGCAAGTGTGAAGTGAGCTTCTGCTTACTCATCTCTAAGATGAGGGGCTCACAGCCTAGCTGTTATGAAGATCAAAAGTTTGTGGGTGTAAAGTGTAGAAAGGTACACATAAAGTCAGTAATGTCACCGTCACCGCTCAGACCCATTTCATGCCCCCTCGTCTGCATTAACATCTCAGCTACCATAGTCTTGCGATGGAGCTCCCTTTACCAGTTAATAAAAGTCTACCAGGATTTCACATGCTGGTTCCTCGTGATGAAAATATATCACACATAGATAAGACATCGTTCCGTTCTACTTGCCACTTCATATTAGTTGGTTAACTTGGTCACCTTTGTAGCCCTGTAATATATTCATGGCAATCCATATGTAACTCTACTTGGTACAAGTCAAGACATATTTTAAATGCAGAAAGAGAAATGGCTATTTCAAAAAAATCTATGGTAGATCTATTCATTTCTACTTCTGACCAAAGGGGCTGCTGCCCTCTCCTCTTCCTTAATTCTGCATTTGGCCCAGTTCCGTCCCAAGAACACCTACCTGTCCAGTAAATGTCTTATTGGTGGATGACATATCTGGACCATGCCACAGCACAACAGGTGGGGGAATTGCAATCCTGGCAGTCATGGTCGATCGTGGTTCTGCCAGAGCCCGAGGTCTGAGACCGTGCAGGGCTGTGCAGAAGTCGAACAAGGACACAAGCTTACCTCTTCCATTGGTTTAGGAAAGGGCGGCTTCCTTTGGAGGTGGCAACTTCACTCAGGAACAGAGATGGGTTGGTGCTTCCCTCGATTTTTATTTTCTTAGGACCTTTCATTTCTGTGGCACACTTCCTTTTTCTCTTTCATGATCTGATCTCTAAGGAATGAATACCCACGACAGAAACGGTGCCTTCGCAAGGATGTCACCTTCGGTCTTGTGCACGTTCCAGCGTCTTTCCTTTTTCATCTTTCACTTAAACAGCTTTACCGAGATGTACTCCACATATTAGAGATTTACCCTTTGAAGGTGTGCAATCCAGTGGTTTTTAGTATATTCATAAAGTTCTGCGCAATCTAATTTTAGAATATTTTCATGAAAAGGAACTCCATACCCATCAGCAGTCACTCTCTACCCCGTCCTGCCTCGGTAACCACTCACCTACTTTCTGTCTCTATAGATCTGCTCATTTTGAAGAATTCATTAGGATGAAATCATGCAACATGTAGTTCTTTGTGACACCCTTTCACTTATGTGAACCTTCTGGAAGTTGCTCTTTTTTACAGGTGTTGCAATCCACTGATCCACTACCTGGGATGGCTCTCAGCCTGGGAAACAGGAACTTCTTCTCAACCCCACTTACCCCTTGATCTTCAGATGTCGACTTTCATTCATCAAAAATATTAGAGCACTTATGCAAAATGGGATCTAGGTACATATAACATTAGTTTCCGAATTTAGAATATAAAATAATTGAGGTGTACAGTGATGAACGGAACAACCAAACAGCAGTCAATGCTGAATGCAGAGCTTTTAGCCTCTGCCTGGAATCCTAGAAGCTGCCGATCCGTCGTCTTCTGCTAACGCATCGTGGAAAATACATCTTTGAACACAGAATTCGCTATTCTTTATCTCAGAGCGCGGCTCTTCTTGGGCATGGTGCTAAGTTCCTTCCACAGCCTAGAAACCCAGAAAATATTGTGCGGTGGAATTCATAGATGCAGACCATTTCCCCCTAGTACGACATCACATAAGGTACACTTGTTTCACATGTATTTACAAAGAGAGAAACACGCCGTACTGTCCAGGGGTCTAATTACTAAGTCTGTCATGACTAATTAACCTCTTATCCTTGGTCGTTCATGATAAACTCCTGCATAGGGATGTGTGTCCTAAACCTCCACATCATACGGATGATTTGAAGACCAAAATTAGAGGGATGCAGATCTTCTGTGGAAATAGGCCCCTCTGACTGAAGGGTCTTCACACTTCTCTGAGGATTGTGTTTTTCATAATTAAGGAGACTTTGAATTTTACATAATGAAACTTTTTTGCTGGCTATGACACTGACTCTGAATATTATTTCTCTTTGGAGATCTTAATCATCTGTGACCATAAAAATATTAAGGATCTAACAAAGCAGAATGTGTGACACTTAGGAAGTTATTTCTCTTCCTGAACTCCAGTCTGGTGTTCACCTGAGTTCTTGGTCATCAGGCCAAAGGTGAGGGAGGTCTGAATGGAATCACTAACAGATGTTAGTGCTTAAAAAGACATTAGAGGAAAATGAGGTCCATAGCCCCAGATCCAACTGTCCTTGACTAAAGCCTATCGACTCAGCTGTTGTCTAAAAGAACTTTCCCATTCACCTCCAAGTTCCATGAAGTTAAATTCCACCTCGGGAATATAAAGTTTTAGAAGCAGGACCTTCAAAGCTGTGCTGCCTACAGTGGCCCGGAAGGTTTGCTTTAAGTTCTTACTACATGAATACTCGTAGAGATTTTGAATTTCCCTTCTGAATACAGAGGAAGAAATATACACAATGCCTTTTATGGGAATCAGAATCCTATCAGAAGACAAACAATAAGAGTGCTCTTTTTGTCCCAGCCTGAACTCCCCAATATTTCCCTGTGACTTACAGCAATTCCAACTAAGTGTATAAGGAGAAACGGCCAAATCTAGACTTTAATATGCACCAGAATTTCAGTTTCTTATAGCTAATTTCGCCATCCACTTCCCATCTGTTAATTATTAGAAAAACAAATTCCTAATGGAGACTTGTTCTACTGAAAACAAAAGCAGCAGGAACACATTGTCGGTGGTGCCAAAATCAGGCACCAGATCACCCCATCATCAGAGTGCCAGTTTCTGATTCCCTTTTCTGAGTACACAGTGAAGATAGAAGAATAAAGATGACTCTATAGCAACAGCAGACAAAGAATTGTCTAGAGATTCCTAAAGAGCCAACTGGTCAACCAAACCTTAACTATGACAGAAACCTAAGCATTCCCATTACAACAAATTTCTTTTTCGGGTGAAGATGACAAATCTTTGATCTGGTATGGTTACTTTTGTTTCAAATAAACACATAAATGGAGAGATTAATCTATAATTTCAAGAGGTTAAAACAAAACGTTTTAACCTGGAGGCCTTGATCAGAACTGGCACCTTTGGTCCTCAAGGTAGTGTATGTTAGGTAGGGAAGGAATATTTAAGATGAAGGAGTGCATCACCATTACTAGCTGCAAAAGTACTTGTGGGTTGCTTGGCCTATTGATGCATTAGGTCATAGCTGAGGAAGAATGGATATTGAGCTTTCAGATACTTCTCACGCATTTTCCTGTCCTTATGCCAGTAATGGGTTTATATAAGAAGAGTATAGCAACGGTAATTCAGTCCACAATTAGAAGAGTTATGGGTCAATGTTTTAATTGACATTTTTTTCTGCACTGTACATCTGAAATAAATTCAATAATTAGTAACACCGGGAAAAGATTCTCTTCTTCCATCTGTTTAGGGCATCTTTGATTTCCTTGTTCCTCATGCTATAAATCAATGGATTTAGCATGGGGGTTATAATAGTGTATAAGACCGATGCCAACTTGTTTTGGCTCTGAAAATCATCAGAATTAGGATACATATAAACAAAGATAGCTGAACCAAAGAAGAGAGTCACTACTGTCATGTGAGAAGCACAGGTGTTGAAAGTCTTAGACCTGCCTTCAGCTGAGGAGATCTTCAGAATGGTGGCAACGATATGACCATAGGAAATCATGATAACTAGGACAGATATGAACCCAAAGATCACTGTGAACATAGACATCATGATTTGGAAAAAAAAGCTGTCAGAGCAGGATAGGACCAGCAGATGGGGCAGGTCACAGAAGAAATGATTGATGACATTTGGCCCACAGAAATGGAGCTGAAGAAAGGCGCATAGTTGGATAAATGAACTAAAGAATCCAGCTAGATAAGATCCTGCCACCATCTGCACACAGAGAATGGGAGACACGATGGCTGTGTAGAGCAGAGGATTACAAATGGCAGCATATCTATCATAAGCCATGGCTGCCAGGAGACAGCTCTCAGTCAGACCCAGGCCACAGAAGAAGAAGTATTGCATGGTGCACTCCACATAGGAGATGAATTTATGCTTCTTGAAGAAATCCGAGAGCATTCTGGGGGCTATAGTGGACGCATAGCAGATGTCCAGCAAGGACAGATTACGGAGGAAGAAGTACATAGGTGTGTGCAGGCGGGAGTCCATCCTAATGAGGGTGATGAGGCCCATATTCCAGGACACTGTTATCAGGTAGATCCCTAGGAATACTGAAAAGAGGACTGTGGTGAGCTTTGGAAATTCAGAGAATCCCAAGAGAATAAACTTTATAATCTTTGTACTGTTTCTTCCGCCAGTCATTGCATTGATGATGCTAGGATCTGCAGGGAAAGAAGAGAATAAATCTCTAAGTCAGTTGTTATCTCAATTTCTGTTGAAATAAACTACCTTCTACCCACACCGAACACAGAATCAGAGAAATGTTGAGCCATTTTAGAATAACACTGGTTCACTTTGCCCCAAATATCTATAATGGTTCAGTGTGTCAATTTTCCGATATATAAAAGGAGGATAATTACACTTTCCATCATTAACCCATCAGGCTCTTACAAAGACAGAAGAAAGTATATCAACATTTGGAAAACCCTTCTTAAAAGAATCTTTGGAAATTTTAGAATATTGTTAATGGGGTTATAACTCCTGTGCATGGATTAGTGACTGAGAGCATGGTCTTAGATGTCACATAGCTGTTTTTGGTTTATTGACTCTAAACAGGTTGTCTGTTATCTTCCTGCCTAAGTTGCCTAAGTTAATTCATCTTTAAAGCAGGGATAACAACAACAGAACCTATCTTCTAGGGTTTATTTGAGGTTTAATTAGTTCCATTATGTGCAATGTGTGCCATGCACATAATATAGTTTTGAAGCACTCTTAGTTTGTGAAAAACTTTTAAAATTTAAATTTTAAAGGATTGGTCAAACAGATAACTTTCTCAGACTACAATGTGATTAAGTTAGAAATCAATAACAAATTGGTAATTAAGAAACGTAGTTGGAAACTAGTTACATATTTCTAAACTATCAGAAGTCAAATAATAAATTATAATAGAAATTAGAAAATATTTGTAACTTAAATATAATGAAAAATATTATTCATCAAATCTTGTGGACTTTTTTATTGAAAATTTATTTTTTGCTGAAAACATTTTATTGAAATTGACAACACAACATTGTATAATTTTAAGGTGTACAATGCGTTGATTTGATATATTTATATATTGCGATATGACTACCATCATAGCTTTAGCTAACACCTCTTTTACGTACCATAATCATCTTTTCTGTAGTGAGAACACTTAACAAATCTTGTGAACTTAACTAAAGATGTACGTAGAGAGATATAGTTGTATTAAATGCGTGTAAAAGATAAAAACAAATGATCTGACCATAATTCATAGACAATTAGGAAACAATAAAAATTTAATTAAGTATAAAGAATTTCAAAATAATACAACAAAATCAAAAGTTGATTCTTGATATGTCAGGAAAGTTGATTCTTGACTTTATTGGTGACACCAAGTAAACCAAAACTTTTAAAAAACGGAAAAGGGGATATAACTCTAAACAATTTTCTGTCAATAAATTTTAAAACTTAAATAAAATGTACAAATTCTAGGAAAATATAACTTGCCAAAAGTGACTCAAGTATAGAAAAATCTGAATATTCTATAAATACTAGAAAAATTGAATCAATAGTAAAACTTTTCCCATGAAGAAAACTCCAGACTCAAATGGTTTTATTAGCAAGTTGTACAAAAAATTAAAGGAAAACGATTTCAATCATACACAAAATTTTTCAAAGTATGGAAATCTGAGCAATTTCTAACTACTTTTGTGGGAGTATAACTTAATACCAAAACCTGACAAGGATGGAATAATAAAGAAATATTATAGCCATACTCACTTACAAACTTAACAGATTAGAAACATCTTAAACAAAATTTTGGCAAACTGAACCCAACACAAAATAAAAATAATACGACATTATGAACAAGTTGGGTTTTTTCCAGAAAAGCGAGGTTGGTTTAAAACCAGAAAATCAGTTAATGTAATTCATCAGTTAATGTAATTACGAGATTAAAGAAGGAAGCAATATAATCACCTAAACAGATAAAACTAATAAAAAAACATATATGACTTTTAAAAGATAGCGAATAAGGGAAATATTTTATTCTTGTAAAGAAAGCTTACAACCAACCTCAGTAAATTACATCCTCAATGGTAAAATATTGAAAGCATTATCCTCAGGGTCAAAACAAGGAAAACATTGCCTTATCTTTAAACTAGTTTTAATTGTGTCAAAAAAAAAAGCAAAACACTATTACATATTTTATTAATCTTTCATTTACATATTCTAATTAGTGTAGCAAGGGCAGAAGGACAATCAAATTTTAAAATCAACTTAAGTGAAGTATAATTTATACACAATAAAATGTATAAATTTTAAGTGTGCAGTTGACAAATTTTTTCGCCTATTTGCATACCACCACAATTAAGATGTAGATCGCTTCTTTCACTACAGAATATTCTCTTGTGCCTTTTTCAATTCAGTCTTCTTTGCTAATCTCTTGCCATAAGCAACAACCAACTGGCATTCTGTCCCTATATATTAGAATTGCCCACTCTGGATTATTCAAAATAAATAGAATAAAAATGTATGCACTCTTTTATGTCTGGTTTCTTTCATTCAACATAATGTTTCTGAGATTCATCCATGTAGTTATGGTCATCAGTAGTTTGTTCCTTTTAACAGCTGGTTAATGGTCCATTGTATGTATATACCATAATGTGTTCACCCATTCACTTATTAATGGACTTCTGGATTGTTTCTAATTCTTAGCTTCATAAATAAATATTTTATTGAAGAGGCTTTCCTTTCTCCAGTGTATGTTTTTACCTCCTTCGTTGAAAATTATTTGCCCATATATACAGGGGTTTATTTCTGGGCTCTCCATTCTGTTCCATTGGTCTGTGTGTCTCTTTTTCTCTTTTGATTATTGTCACTTTTTAGTATGATTTGAAGCCAGGCAGTGTGATATCTCTGGCCTTGTTCTTTATTCTTAGAACTGCTTTGGCTATTGGGGTTTTTGTGTGTGTGTGTGTGATTCCATACAGATAGTGCTGGGAAAATTAGAAAGCCACATGCAAAACTCTGAAACTAGACTGCTATCTGTCACCATACACCAAAATTAACTTGAAATGGGTCAAAGATCTAAATATAAGACCTGAAACAACAAATTACATGGGAGAAAACATAGGTACTAAACTCATGGACCCTGGATTTAGAGAGGGTTTTATGAATTCAACTTCAAAGGCAAAGGAAGTAAAAGCAAAAATAAATGAATGGAACAAAAAGTTTCTGCATAGCAACAAACAAACAAACAAACAAAAAAGGATGAACCAAAACAAAGTGGCAACCAACTGAATGAGAGGAGATATTAGCAAACAACACTTCTAATAAGGGGCTAATATACAAAATATACAAAGAACTCATACAACTCAACAAAAAAAAATCCAATTAAAAAATGGGCAAAGGACCTCAACAGACACTTCTCCCAAGAAAACACATAGACACAGCCTACAGATATATGAAAGATGCTCAACTTCACTAGATACCAGGGAAATACAATGCCATGTACATATGATGTATTATTGAATTGTACACTTAAAACCTATATAATTTTATTAACCAATGTCACCCCAATAAATTTAATTAAAAATACATGTAAAGTGAAGATGAGCATAATTAAATAAATACTCCTTCTTTTTCCAATAACATATCCATGTGCCACATTTTCTCATACCTAACACACTACACTGCGATAGATTGAATGCAGATCCACATGTAAAAGAATGAAATTAGATCCTTATCTCACACTATACACAAAACAGTTTACAATGGATTAAAGATTTAAACATAAAACATGAAGCTATAAAACTCTTAGAAGGAAATAGAGAGGAAAATTTCATGACATTGATCTTGACAATGATTTCTTGGATTTGACTCCAAAAGAATAAGAAAGAAAAATAAAAATAGATCAATGGGACAACATCAAACTAAAACGCTTCTGCACAGCAAAGGAAACAAGCAACGGAATGAAAAGGCAGCCTATGAAATGGGAGAAGATACTTGCAAACCATATATCTCATAAGAGGTTAATATCCAAAATATATAAAAAACTCCTATAACTCAATAGCAAACAAAACAAAACAAATAACTTGATTTAAAAATAGGCAAACAAATTGAATAGATATTTCTCCAAAGAACACATACATATGGACAACAGATATATGAAAAGACACTCAACATCACTAATTATCAGGAAACTGCAAATCAAAACTACAATGAGGTATCACCTCACACCTGTGAAGACAACTATTATTAAAAAAAAAAAAAAAGACAAGAAATGTTGGCAAAGATGTGGAGAAAGGGGAACCTCTGTATTCCGCTGGTGGGAATGTAAAATGTTACAGCCACTACGGAAGATAGTATGGAGGTTCCTCAAAAAACTAAAAATACAACTACCATTTCATCCAGCAATCCCACTTCTGGATATGTATCCAAAAATAAATGAAGTCAAGATTTCAAAGAGATACTTCACACCCATGTTCATTGCAGCATTATTCACAATAGCCATGATATGAAAGCAACCTAAATGTCCATCAAAAGATGAATGAAGAAAGAAAATGTGGTACATAAGTACAATATTATTTAGCCTTAGGAATAAAGAAAATCCTGACATTTGGGACAATATGCATGAATCTGGAGGATATTATGCTAAGTGAAATAAGCCAATCACATAACTTTACATATACAAGGCATAGAAATTGAAGTAGAATGGTGGTTGCCGGGGAGGGGTTGGGGGTAGAGAGAAACGGGGAGCTGCTGTTCAGAGAGTATATAGCTCCAGTTATGCAAGATAAATATGTTCTAGAGATCTGCTGTATAACATCATGTCTATAGTTAACGATATTGCACAGTGCGCTTCAAATTTTGTTAAGGCTACATGCATCTCATGCTAAGAGTTCTTACCAGAATAATCTTTTTTAATTTGAAAAAATTTTCACAACGATTCAGATATCAGAGTCTCACTGTCTACTGTTCAACAGCCATTCCTGAGATTTTCAGTACTGTAATATAATGCTGCTTTTTTCACGAAATATTTTTGTTTTAGAAAGTACAGTTATTGATTTGGTATAGATATCTTATTGAAATAATTATTCATGTTAATACACAATCGGTGAAGGAAATGAGCAGAAAAGAACCTGCGTATGGTAAGCGGCCAATATCTGTCAATATGG